TACAATGTTATGCCAATTATATCTCAATTTAAAAAAAAAAAAAAAAAAAAAAAGACAGGGTTTTCCTCCACATGAGTTTCAACTCCTGGCTTCTAACATGGACTTTATGATTCACTGTGTCTCTTTTACACCTGGCTCATGAGGAAGTCCTTTCTAATGCATCTGTAATGGGTACTATTGGGTGCTGACAACTTCCTCTTGAACAGAAGAGAGAAGGAGCAGCAGCAGAAATAGCACCATGATCACACGTTTCCCTTCTCCACCCTAATTCACGTCTTTAGGAAATGCATGTGCCAGAAACTAAAACCTATGCACAAGTATTTCTAGCTCTAATGGACCTGAAGCTGCATTTGCACATGCCCCTCAATTCCTGGTATGCAAGAGGTCCTAAGAGAGGACGCACATTAAAAATACAAAATGATACTTGGCATGTTCATCTTCTAGTCATTCTTGAGAATGTATCAAAATAGGAACTTCAAAATATCTCATTGAGGAACACCTGGCAACTAAATTTCTGAAGCTGGCAAAAAGCCCAGGGCTCTATGCCTGAAATCTCCCTCCTTCTGGGACCCAGTATCAGACCAGACAGTTGCAGTGCCAGGAGAAAAAAGGCCCAAAGGAGCCCCAGAGCAGATTCCATCTGTTAGTTCTGCTGTCCCTGCTGTCATGAACGTAGACTTGTGCAAAGGGAGCACGTTAATCCTCAGGACCAAAGACTCTTCTCTTGCAAAAGAATAAGAGAACACTTTGAAACCCTTAACTTAAAACTTGTACTATTATATTATACTTTATAACTTTATTCTATTTCAGGTCATAGTTCATTCATGTCCATAGAAGCCACATGACTGCGCAAAGCACTAAACTGTAGGTCTGAAAATAACCTCACCTCCTCCCAGCAGTAACTCAGAATCAGAGTTATGGAATATTAGAGCTAGAAGAGGCTGCAGAGATCATCTGGCTCAACAACTTCATTTTATATGTCTGGAAAGTCAGGAAAAGGATGATGATTATCTTAGTGACAGAAGCAATGGAAACACTCTCTACTCTTGAATAGTAATGGTGAGGTTATGGTATTTTGCAGATACTGCCTCATTTATTTCAAGATTGTGCTTTCTTTACACTCTCCCCTTCAAAGGACTGAACTTTAATTTCCTAATATAAAAAGAACTTTATTGCAAAATATAATTTCTTTATCCCTGGCTTGGCTACTGGTTATTACTAATAATTTCCTATGCTTATTTATTATGTTAATAAAGCTGATTGTAAATACAATGCTTTTCTTTAACATTCCTCAACAATAAAGACAATACAGCAATGCACAGTAAAGTTAGTTTAGATTTCATGTGCATGTCACAGTCGACTGAACTGTTTGGCAATGGATATTTTCCAAAGAACAGAAATGATTAAACTTACAAAATAAAACCTCAGCCTGAGAAATACAAACCAGTTAAAAGAAATTTTAAAAAGCATATACTGAATAAACATATTTTATAAATCAAGATTTTAGAGCAATATACTAACCTTAAATTTTTTCCTAAGGGGTGGGAAAAAGAATCACCTAACAGAATCCCTGTTTTCCTACTGCAATCTAAATACATTCTCTTTTTGCTAAAAGAATTAGAGTGAAAAGTTTTATACTTCCTAGAAAACTTGTTTGATTGATCTGTGGATTTAATCCTATATGATAAAAATGTTCCAAGTATGAAATATAGAGTATAAATCCTTAGCTGTATTGTAAATGCATTGGCATGCAGATGTTTTTTTCCATATTTTAATGAAAACCAGATTTATTTATAAATTGCTTTAATTTCATTCTCAAATACAATAGAACAAGAGTATCATATGTTCTGAATTAGGATCTCACTCACATCCCATATCAATTATGTAACTCAAATGCAAGACAACTTAATTGTGTCAATCATATTCCCCTGACAAGATCATTAAATGTTAACAGAGAGCTTCCAACTTTTAACAGCCATAGATTTTTAAAATATATGTTATTCTATGAAAAATATAGATGCCTCATAAAAGTTTGGTATTTAAGTATTACAGCTTCTGACTTCTAACAGTAATTTTTGAAATTACAATATTATGAACATAAAGTTTCTTTTTGGTATCGTCTTTATAAAGGTTTATATTTCACAAAGGTACGTCAAAGCCCACATATAACCCAGAAAATAAGCACGCGTGAAAGATCTTAACTGCAATTTACTGCAAATCAAACCCTAAAACAAAAGCATATCAATATCATATTGATCCCATAGAAGAAATATTGTTAGAAATAAACTGCCCTAGATAGTTAAGTCAATCACCATAACATTTGTTTCTTAATTATTTGACAGCACTAAACTTTAAAGACTAATGTTTTATCTGCATTCTAACCAATTAATAATTAGTGGCTTATTAATGTTTTTCAAAACTTCAAAATCCAAAATAAGAGAATATATATTAATTTAAAACAAGATGAGGCTGCTAAAAAGATGTGCAATTTTAAAACATCATAAAAGAGAATGCAAACTGGCCACACTATTTTTAAGCATACAGTTTTAAAAATCCATTTCTTTTTTAAGATTGGCACCTGAGCTAACATCTGTTGCCAATCTTTTTTCTTCTTCTTCTTCTCCCCAACGGCCCCCAGTACATAGTTGTATATTCTAGTTGTAGGTCCTTCTGGCTCCACTATGTGGGACGTCACCTCAGCACGGCTTGATGAGCAGTGCTAGGTCTGCAGCTAGGATCCAAACCAGCGAAACCCTGTGCTGCTGAAGTGGAGTGCGTGAACTTAACCAATTGGCCATGGGGCCAGCCTCTAGAAATCCATTTCTGACACGTAAAAACATTTTAATCGATTTTTTACTAATATGAGTAAGATGGGAGTTAATTTTTACTTATTTAAAGAAACCAGAAAAAAACCCCAATAAAGTAAATGGCAATTGGTTTAAAATGAAGCTATGATAAAAGTTTTAATAACAGTTCTGTCACATACCACCTTAATTATTTCTAAAATTTTATATGTATTTTTAGCCCTCCTCTTTCCATAAAGACATATGACAATAAAAAAAAATGTAAATAGAAATCACCAAATTCAGGGCTAAGAAAAAGGAAAACACATGTGACATCTATTAGTATTAACATAGCTTATGCAATACATTCAAATTTGACTCTGAACTTCCCAACAGGGCAAAGAGAGAAAAACCATCTTTAATACAGTTATTATTATCGGAATTTCTTAATTCTCCACAATTACACTATGCCATCAGCTTACAAAAGCATGTGTATGTATAATATCTTATTTGACCATCTCAACAACTTTGTTAAGAAGGCAATACTAGTACTCCCACTATGCTAAGAAACCTAAGGCTCAGAATTAACTTTTATAGCCAAAAGAAGTTAATTTCCTGAGGTTACTGAATATGAAATGGGTAGAAAGCATGTCTCCTTACTCTTAGTCTAACCTTCTTTATTCTACCTCATATTGCCTTGAGTTCTTAGCCTTAAATTATAAAAGAAATTTATCACATAGAATTTTTTGAGTAATAGAAGTTGTCCTCAATATTTTTACAGCAAATGCCAAAGTGAATTTCACATAGCTATTTCTTACAGCAATTGTTTATCAAACTAACAGTTAAACTAAAACTTTAGTTAAACTAAAACTTAAAACTAGATAAAGCTGTGGATAAAACAAGGAAGTTGTGAGCATCAAATGTGATCATGAATGTGGAAATCTTGTAAACTGTAAATTACTATACAAAGGCACAATATCTTCTGATGATGAAAAATCATTAAAGACGTCTAGCTACCTTTTTTCAACCACAGTTTCTTGATGGTTCCTATTCAGATCTAACGTACATCATACTTTCCTTACAAATATGTATTTGCAGTTGTCTAAGTAGAATTCTTTAATGGAAGCCAAGTTGTAAAAGGTAAAAACCAAATTTTGAAAACTTGCCCTGCAACCCAGAACAAGTTCAAATGTTGGAGCAAAACAACCAAATATTTAAATCTAGAAGTCCAACAGGTTTTTGTGTTGTGGTTTAGAAATTATGTGAAATAACCTGATGACAATTAAAAGTATTCTGTCCTTTCAAGTTTATCCTTCTCAAAATTTCTTAATCTATGTAGTGAAAAGTATAATTAATTTGTTTTTTTCCCCATAAAAAAAGATGAGTCAATAGTCTTTAGAACCTAGTATTTTTAAAATAAGGAGAAAGGAGGTATAATGTGGTTTAGTATTATTTATAATATTGTTAAGAAACAGGAAATGAAACAATTAAGTCCCTGCAATTAATTGATTGAGTGACTGATTGACTGCCGAAGAAGATTTGTCCTGAGCTAACATCTGTTGCCAATTTTCCTCTATTTTGTATGTGGGTCACCACCACATCATGGCCACTGACAGAGGAGTAGTATAAGTCCACACCCAGGAACCCAACCCGGGCAGCCTAGGCAGAGTGCACCAAACTTAACTACTGGGCGACTGGGGCTGGCCTGATAATTTATTTTTTTAAATCATGCTTTCTAATAGGAATCTTACACAAGTATGGTTGTAACTTTATCACTATGATTTATCCTTATCACTATGGTTTGCTGAGAAGTGACAGCAGTATTATCCACTCCCCTCCATTGGTTAAACCTTTACTGTCAGTACTCTCAGCCCTCCCCCATTCCCAACCCCAATCCCCACCCCAATCCTTCATATCCTCAGAAATTTCTCCTGTACTCTTCTCCAAGAGCTAGCTCATACCTGTCCCGCCCTATCATACCACCGAAGAACGCAAAGGTTACACCTGGCACTTCAGAGGCATCACAGCACAGTACTGTGTACATAATGGATCATCAGTAAACGTCTACTGAGTGTCATCTTCTCTGTTACTACTCTGCCCCTGCCTAATTTGTAAGTCTCTCGAGGGCAGGGACTACGTTTTACTTCCCACTAGAGCTTAATAAATATTTATTGAGTTAATAAATGAATGGATACAATGTGAAATATTTTTTCTTACCTACTATAGTCTCCAGACAAAAATTCTGAAATAGCAGCAGGAAGCTCTGTTTTAATAATTAAAAGATAAGATGACATAGCTGAAAAAAGAATAAAAAGAGTTCCTATTAGAATCCTATAATTTTTAACCATTTAAAGAATAATCTATCCAAAACACAGATGTCCATTAGGGCTCTGACAACATGTGGAAGATTAACTGGTACTGCACTATCCTCAAAGATATGTATACACCAGAAGTGGAGAGAAGTAACTTTGTAGAGAAGAATAATTTGGTAAGTTCATTATCCTTTGTTTATCTCTCAAGTCCAAGGCAAACTATTTAAGTAAGAGAAAGAGTCTTGATTACAGGCCATTTATAAATGAAATTTTGTTTGAAGTTTTGCAAAATCTCACACATCATCACCCTTGTCAAAGGCACTAGAGTTTAGTTTAGCAACAAGTGATATAGAAACACAAGTCTAATAAGTACAGCTAATAATTTTGTTTGTTTGTTCTTTCTCACTAGAGAGAGAGACCTCCCCCTAGAAGTCTCCCTCCCTGCCTCTGCCACCCCCCGCCCCTGCCCAACACACACACCTTATGGACACTCGCTATTACACAACCAAAACAAGACGCATGACTTACATTTTCAATCGTCCTCTAAAACAGGTTAAGAAAAGATTCAATGGAAGCCATTAAGTACATTAAAGGGACATATCTTACAACTTTTATTCCATTTTACTAACAGGGCTCATCTGTATTATGCAGTCAAAACCTGAAGCTAGTCATTATTTCTCAGATTTTACCTGACAGGATCCAAGAAATAACTAACTTTTATAGCATTTTAATAATGATCCTATTTCTGATGTAGCAATAAAAAAATCCTATAAACCTTCCACCACATACTAAGAAATGTTATAATATGATTACAGAATACAGAACTCACTTATATGTAAACACCTGAGTTTAAACTTAAATGCTTAAATATATAGAAACCCAGATGATTTAGAGTCAGAACTTCAGTTTAACAGAGTAGTAATCTTTCTTTCCCCTAGAGATTAAGTATATATTAAAAAAGAGCCAACAAGAATATATCCATTAGGAGGGTACTATGTAAGAATGTTAATTTTATTACTTATTTATATTTCAAGAAACATTTCACTTTCTCCTTGGACCTACAAAAACTAAGAACGTAAATGAACGCCAAGTGTGAATGGCAAAAATCTGGGGAAAAATTAAGAGGCTCAAATAGTTTAAGAAAAAGAATGCATATTCCTCAATCAATATATTTAAAAGTAGCTGAGCTTCTCCACAATTATTACAGTGCTGTGTGGGCGTTTAACCCTGGAGAAAAAAAGGATACATACCAGTTTGTGGATAAATTTATATGAAGACAGATAATACTCACACACACAAACACATACACTCTCAATTTTTTAGTAAAATAACATGTACCTATGGAAAATTAAAATTTAGAACAGTCAATAACCAGTTCTCTGTAATGAAAATATACACATTTTCCGGTTCATAACTATTTCTTTTTCCCCAGCAGAAGTACAGTACATTTCTTCAAACCCTCTGTTAGTTATGGGGCGTTACAATTGATTGTATGTAAAAAGGTGTACTGTTCACACTCTCGTAAGGAAAAATGCTATCAATTTGGCACAGAATAGAAGGAAGGTTTAGATTAACCTCCTCCACTCAAGGATTTGGGGCCTTTGTTTATAATACTTTATCTATTCCAAAGAATCATACACATATGGTGTGATGATGAAAATCATGAACTGAATTTCCTGAGACTGGCCTAGAGCTACTTAAATATATCTTGCAAGGAAAAAAAAAAAGATAAAAAGTACCTTTAAAACAAGGAACGCAGACTTCCTACACAATGTAGTTTATTATCTGCCCATCAGTCTTTCTTGCTTGGATTAATCCAACACCACATGCATTTCTAAAGTTTCAGACATTCATCTTTCAGTAATTTGCTATTATTTCTTTTAGATCTTTAGTTGTAAAAAGCTTCAATGAATATGAGATCATATTTCTTTCTAATATACAATCTGTCATTCTTCCCAGAATTTCTATTAGCCTCTGGCTAATCATCTGACCACTTTTATCCTCTGCTGTAGCCTTAACTCTTTAGTTTTTAAATGGGAGTCCTATTTCATTAGAGTCCAGTCGGAAGAATCATCACATTTCAAGAAATATGAACTCACTAACCATATGTATCTCTCTCAAAAAAAGATCTCAGTATACAAGATATGAATATAATAAAACATGTAAAATACTGCTTCTTAGAGAATGCTGGTGTCTGTTTTAAGAGCTACAAAACTACAGAGCTCATGATGGGGAAAAACTCCACTGACTAAGCAAGTAAAACAAAAGAAGACACTATTCTTTTCACTATCTAAATTATTTTTTCTTAACCATAAGTAAACTTTCATGCAAGGACTAGCACTTTAACCTATTACATATAATATAGAGAGGAAACAAAAAAAGATTACCAAATAGACACTGTTAGGAAATATATCTTAGAGTCACATAAAAAGAATAATCAGTTCAATAAAATAAGTTGGAAAAGTTTTAAATATATAATATCAACAGGAGAGCTCAAATATCCACTGTTTTTAACCAAAAGGTTCACTAGATCAAATAGCTGCCTGTCACACCTTTTGTCTCATGTCTTCTATTAATAGCATAAGGAAGTGTTTAAAGACATCTTAGAGACAGGTCATAAGCAAGAATTTGTAAATGATTTTTGCTGACATCGATACATAGCACAGACTCCTAATACAACACACACCATGTTGTACTCTAAATTAATAGCTGTAACAGGGCCATCCATAAGAGCCATGGTCACAGTTAAGTGGTTCTGGCCTCCAAACCAGCAAAGCCAGAACTAGTACTAGAAGACATATCTTAATGACGGGTATTCAGCCACTACAAATCATTTAGTTTCACCACATTAACGAAACAGGTATTCTTTTCTCTTTCACTTTAAACATAGCTAATAGACCTCATGTAACAGAAACTGTGCTGGGAAGGAAATAAAAAATTCTGTCAACTTAATCAGAACACAGAAGTTGAAAGTATTCTTTAAAAACCATGTGGAGAAGCAACTGTTATATTAAGAAATGACTAAAATAGGGTAAAATTTGATTAGGTAATAGCAAGTAGTAAGGTATTAATATTGGTTGATTTAATCGTAAAGAGAAACACATGAATTGGGAGCATGGCGGTTGAGGGGAGAAATGTCAGAAACAGAAAAGGGAAAGGGCTCTGTGGGAGAACTATGAGGACAGCGAACATTTGGTGTTTTGGATGCCTGTTAGATGCTCGACAGTGTTCCAAGAGATTTACAAGTTATTTCCTCATTTCACCTTCACCACAAACCTGTGAGGTAGATATTATTTAGTTCACAGATGAAGAAATAGAGGCACAAAGAGTAACTTGCCCAAGCTAGCAATAGTAGAAATAGCCCGTCAGGCTTGAGAAATGTGCATTATTAACTACTATGCTATGGGAAAGTGAGGAAGAAATCCACCACAGCAAAGAAAAATAAGGAAAGTCTATCAAAAGGACCACTGCCCAGAATTACTCTTTTTTCACCAGCATTTAAACAACAAATTGCTTCTGAATGCTGAGTTTAACAGCTGGGTTCAAAGTAAATAATTTCTACAACACAGAACACTAATTAGAAGCTTTTAAAAACACTTATAATGTTCATTTCACTTTGAGTTGTACTTTCAATGTAATTCATTTCAAGTTTGTAGGTGGTGTGGCAAAGTGATTAGCCCAAGATTCCTCAGACAAGCGGAGGAGTTTCATGAAAGGACCCCCTGCATCTACCACTATGATTCTACTGCATTTACAGCTATGAGTGTAGTTCAGAAGAGAAAGTTTCCTATACTCACATATTTGAGATAGTAACATTACACCAAAATCTAAAAAAATTAAAACAAAAACCAATCTCTCTTCCCACAAATCCTGTACTGTTATGGACTATTTTTCTCAGAACTCCCTAAAAAAACAAAAACAGACAAAACCTCAATTGGAGTTTGGGCCTAACAAGCCATTAGTTTACAAAAAGTAATTATCCCTTTTGTTAAATACTCAAAATACATATATGAAGATGAGATTACGGGACAGCTATTTTAAAGACAGAATTCGCTTTTAGCCCTTGGAGGAAGTTCAGCAACTTCTTAAAAGATCAGTCAGCCAGTCCTAAAGAGATGTGCCACGGGAGGAAATACAAGTTTGCCTTTCGTCTAAGAGAGATTCAATTTTACTTCAAACGTGTTTTTAGTCACTGATAGCAACTGGTTTACTACATTCAGTGTGTCTTATTAACTTGATGTTCCTACTAAACGTCCAGTACCAATGAAAGTCTGTTCCCACTCAAAACGGTACACAACACAACCTCTCCTTTTAAAATAGGACTTTTTGAAACTCTGAAAACAATGTCATTTCCCTAATTTGTGCACAAATGGATATTAAAATGTATGGAGAAATCCTCCCCCCAATAACCCCTGAAAAACATATATCTTCGTTTTATCATTTATCAAGATCTTAAATTCTGAATAAAAAGTGACCAGAATATTTACTACTCTAAAAATTATATAATTAAACTTAAATAAAAATTATTCCTAGGAAATACATTATATTCAAAATATTTTTGAAGTGACATTTTACCGGTAAATTTTGTCAAAGGGAGTACTTGTGAAAAAAATTCTCCTTCCAAATTTCCTCTCTCCCTCCTCTTCTAAGGCAGTGCTTTCTAGAATTTCTGGATAACACTGTTCAGGCTCAAAAAACCTGCAGTTTGACTACAGAGGAGCTGACCAGCAGATGGCGCTGTAACAGCATGCCCAATCCTAGTTTCCCAGGAGACAATGTAAATTAGAATGTACGTCTAAAAGACTTCACTACCCAGCAAAAGAAAAAAAAAAAGGAAGAAATTAAACCAAATAGATTCTATCTTACCTAAAATTAAACCATGAATTTGAAAAACTGATAATTTGAGACTTCTATAGTTCTCAACTGAAAATGATCTTATTTACACCTTTGTGTTTACGAGATTTAGAAATTGTGCTGCTGGAGT